TTACGTGATTTCAGAAATGCGTTTTCTCTTGCGGAGATTTTAAATTGTTCATAACTTCTGAGAGTACCTTCATTTAAATAATTTTTAGAATATTTTTTGCGTAGGTACGTGTTAACGGCTGCAGTATACAATTGTAATTGCTCCTATTTCATTCTTTTAAGGGCCGTTTTTTTTTTTTTCACGCAAAAAATTATTACTGTGTACTTCGCAATGGGCTGTATCTCGATACACTACTAACAAACTACCTTGAGAATTTATCGACTCTTGGTACTATTGTCGGCAAAACGAAAGACCCACTTCGAGCCAACATCCACAAAAGAGAAGGGGGATAAAGGGAGAAACGTCTATTCAGAATGTGCGATTGGAAACCCACCACACTTTGTAGAGATAAAAGATGGTGAATGTGATTTGGAGAGTGCTCAACCCACGTCTGAAATCTAGGCTATTTGTATATTGTCATAATTGAATGGCTTGTATTTCTTTCTAGAGAAAAGTCATCTTCAAAGATATCAGTATGATATGTCATTTTTCGGTAATGTGAGTCACGTGTTAACTGCCTCTCAAATGTCAGACCGCTTATGCGACGCGATACGTCTCATCTAATCATAACCCACCTTCCACATCCCATCCAACCGGTCGCGCTCCCATTTATGGACGCGCCCAGAGTGGGTCTCGAGCAGTGGAGCCGATAATGACAGCGCCCCGCCCGCTGCGTCCTTGCCGCATCGGGGCGGCCCGCCTCGTCTTCCCGCGCGCGCCGCCCCGCGCCGAGCGCCAATTACGCAAAGCGCTGCCTGCCACTACGTGATTATCGGCACGAGACGCCACGCCCCCCGACGGCCGGTCTTCGGCGGAAGAGAACCCGCGATGTCGAGCCCGCGCTTGGAGCTCAATTAAGCTCTGTACTTGTTCTTCCACTGTTCGCCGCAAAGGGGCTTCAAATGACGTCAGATGAACTATATCTCTATTATATACTAAAGAGAAAATGTAAACGTATCTATCGTTGATCGGTGTAGGAATATTAACATTTGTCATTTTTAGTCAAGTAATGAACTCTCTCTCCTAAAGTGCATATTTCAATCCATAACTTTTCTTCCGTATTCCAACAGTGCTCCGAACTTAATCGCCTCAGTTTTCTTGTGAATTTTGTCTTCAAGGGTTCGCCGAGTTCAGTATTTTTGCGTGGCGGCGGCCGCCGTGCATGCTGATCTCCCCGTTGACCTGGCGCTTCCCGCCGCCGCGTCCTTGTGCCGGGGTTCTGTGCCGTGGGCTGTCTGGCGCCGCGCCAGCCCGGCGCCGCCCCCGCGGGTCCTCGCCGCCCGGAAGCCGGCCGGTCCACGTCCTGCCGCCTCCGCGCGGCCTTCCGCCGGCCTTCTCCGTCCCCCCTCGCGACCCTAACACACTTTCTGCGCGACGGACGTCGGGTCCTGGCCCGGGCGCGAGGGGATTACGAGTTCAGCAACCTCAGGTTGGCGGTGTCCAACATCCTCTCCTTCAATGGACTTGCTTCTCTTTTAAAGATACGGGACGCAATCCTATTACCTTGATTTCGTAAAATTGTTCTTGCCGTTTCATTTCTCTCTCGATCAACACATAGTTATGGGTTATTGCTTTATTTCGCTTTGTTCGGATCAGTTACACTATATGGCAATGCTAATCTTGACACAAAAACAATGCATTCACTGCAATCATTCAACGTACCAAATTCCGTTAGCAAGTGACAGAGATGGGCTACTAAACAAATATCAATATTTGATGAAAAGAAAATGTACGTGCGTACTTTTTCATATTGTAAGTAAATGATTCCCGACTTATGAAAATCATTGCAAAAATATTTATTGAGTGTTAGGAATTTGGGAGAATTGACCCCGGGAGACATCAGTTGGGGCGTGTATCCTCCCGTGCTTTCGTGCAACGCTGAGCCATTGGCTCCCGCGCCGCGAGAGGCGCCGGCGGCTGCAGGTGCGGCGGGCGCTGCGAGGCGCGGAACCGCGGAGGCGCGCGCCCTCATTTGAATTGCAACGGGTGCCGGCGCGCCCACGCTAATGGAATCGCCAGGCGTGACCTTGCGCCGCGCCCGATGGACGGCTCCGATAGCTGTCGCCTCGGCGCCGCTCCCCCGTCTCTCTCCTCTTCCCCCTCCGCGCTCCTCGTGCCTCTGCCGGCTGCCTTGATCGGCGTGCTCTCTCCCATCAATAGTAGGCGAACACCGGAGCACTAACCAACATGCCATGGACCACGTCTGATCATTCCTTTCTCATCCTTGCCCCCTCTCCCGTTTACCACACATTCTTGACTTACACTTACATGAACAACACTACCACATTTCAAAAGAGATCTAACTGAAGCATAGGATGGCTTCAGTTGGGACGATTCTCAGCTAGGCAGAAATACGAGGAAAGCGAAACTCTCGCAAGTTGACATATAGGACGATACCGGATGTTTCAACTGGAATAGAACACTTCCATCTCTCGTTTTGTTTTCTGAACACTTTCTTTTTGGGATATCTTGGTATTCGTTGTCTTTATTTATGTGGCCTTAGTTGACAAGGTTTTAGTGCGTCGTGTCACCAGGTGTTTGCATCATTTGTTCATGTTGCACCGCTTTCATTCCCGGTTTCAACTTATTTCTACTTCTATGTCTTTCCTTTTTTCCCCGTTCCCTCCGACATATTCAGTGTGGCCCGACTCCTTGCCTGCATTTCATTCCTTTTGCATGGACGCCTCAGTGCGGGCGTCTTATTCGAACGCCTTCCAAAGCTGCACTTTTGTTATTCAGAACCCTCATGCCAAGCTTTCATATACTTTCTTTCGTGCCCATCCATTCGTCATATTTCGTAATCTTCTCGTACTCCCCCTCCATCTAGGGCCTTCTTGATTTGTGCGGACGTGGCTTTTCTGGCTGATGGATCTGCCTTGTCAGGCGGATGGTATCTCACCATGGGGGAAGTACGGGGCCTGTTTCTTTACACAAAGATTGATATCTGCTTGCTGTGTTCCGTTTCTCAGAGGAGCGTTTTTTTTTTTTTTTTTTTTTTTTTTTTAATCTCGTCAAGACTTCTCGCCAGCGTTCGTGCGGCGGGATAATGAATCCGAGGCGGTTGCATTAGAGGGGAAAGGAGAGAAACCGCCGCCCCGGTGAGATTGTTTGGCAGGTTCAATAAACGGACGTGCGGCGGCGGTTTGCCGGTCGTGCGGGGGGGGGGGGCGGCGTTTTGTTCGCCGGCGAGTGCGTCCACACGTCCGCCGCCAGCGACGCTCGCTGCACCGCTCGCCGCACGCCCGCTTTCTAGGTTAATTCCCCGCGCGTATTCCACGCCTCGCCTTGGGGGCCGCTGGGCTATTCCCTAGCACTCCTAGAGCACGCGCGGGGAACTAATTATCTGATGGCGTAAATGAATGGGAATTCGGGGAAGTTTCGAGTTGGCTTATGAAAAGGGAAAGTTTTTAAAAAGGAAATATTACATGCTAATTGAATGCTTTGCACGTAGGAAGAGGAAGCAGCAACGCACGTTGCACTGACATTTTAAATTTGGTCGTGGAGGGGGGGGGGCATTTATCAACAATAAATTTTACATCATAGCGAAGTTACGCTGCGTACTGAAGCCGGTCGTGGAATGGCAAGTTGTTCTATGTAATATTAAACTAAAACGTTTTAAATGAGAAATGGAAAACTACTGTTTTCCTCAATATATCAAATGACCCAAAAATAGTTACGTGCGTTCTTATAATTGAGGTGCTGGAGATGATGCAATGGTAAGCAATAAGCAAAATTGAGACGCTTTACTGCTTTGTTTCTGTTAGATATTGGCAAGCCACTTTCCAAGTTGTGTTACACGGTCCGGTAATTATGCAGTATCTTGTAATGCAGTAAATATGTTTTAATGTTGATACATGTACTTACAGAATTATTTCAAATTTCAATGACTTTGTCTGTAAAAGTCACTTGAGATGAGTTACCATTATCTGATCTCGAGATCCTCAATTCCTGAGTACGAAACCACCCAGCCACTGGGGAGGCGTTGATCGGCCGTCGCGTCAACCGGCTCGGCGCGCCGTGCACTCCGCACGCTGTGCTGGCGGCGGGGCCCGGCGTGGAGCAGGCTGCGCCGGAGGAGCATCGTAATTGGCTCTTCCATTCCATCGCTGCCCCCGACAGGAAACGAACGCCGCCCTCCCGCTCCCGCTCCCCTCGCCGCTTGCCGCTGCGTGCCAGCCGTATCTCTCCTCCGCATCGGGTTTCGTGGGATAATGAACGGCAGAGCGCCGCCGCGCCATACTGTCTTCTAATAAATACAATCGTTGCGAAGCGGAGAAAGATCGCCCGCCGCCATATTTCATGGGCGGCGTGATGGACGAGATGGCGCAGATAGGGCTGCAGCCGCAGGGCGGACGCCCGCGCCGGAGCCGCGTGGGCCGTTGAACTCGGGCAGCCAGTGCCCGCCGCGCTTCATTGCCGCCCGCCGGCGCCCGAATTCTTGCTCCCCGCCCTCTTCGGTTTCCCACCCGTTTCCGCTCCCTTCGGTTTCTCGCTGTTTAACAATTTTTATCCTTCCTCACACCCTCACTCGTTTCTTTCAAGTTAATTTTTGTCTTTTTTGTCACCAGGCCATTCTCCTTGTTTCTTTTGTATTCTGCCCTTCTACTGGAAACTTCTTCCTGTTCTTCGGCGAATTTTCTTTTTTTCCTCTTTTCTTCCTGCTTCCTCCTCTTCTTTTCAAGATTCTCGGCACTGTCTTTCAGTCGTCTTCCAACTGTCTGCGTTTTGATTTATTCACCTACGACCCTACATATCTTGTGCGTGCGCTTGAACTCACTTCCATTACTCTCGCTTGCCACGTCCCTCCCACTGGCGGCCGCTGCTTGTCGCCTCGCTCTGCCAGGATGAAATTCAGAGCCCCCGAGATGCGTAGCAGGCTCTTTAGAAAATTAAACGGGAGAATAATGTTCGCAGTGTTTAGCTACGCAAGCCCCGCTATCTGTAAATAGCGCATATTTAGTCGGTATTCTATTGTCTATTTAATATCTGTGGTTGCATAAAATGATATAGGATTTAAAGGAAATCATTTAGGGTAAATGATTTCATTTAAATAAGGAACGAATGTTGATTTCGACTACTTACCATGAATGGGTGCTGCTTGTAACATAATAATAATAATAATAATAATAATAATAATAATAATAATAATAATAATAATAATAATAATGAGAAGACTAAAGGCAAACTGGTACATTTTACGCTCTAGCTGTTTTCGTCTAATTAATTCTGCGCTCGTATGAAAATATTTTAGTAATGTTCTGGATTTTAATTAATTAATGGTTGTGGATGAGAATAAATTTACCACCTTAAAAAAGGTTTCAAAAATGCTCAGTAATTTTAAACCTTTATTTATCACAGTTATGTTGAAATGCCCGAAATATTTTTCTACGCGTTCTGGAAGATACTGCAGCAATAAAAAATATTATGTGTAAGGCAATGTAATGGCGTTTGATTGTGAGAAACTAGTATGATAGGAGTACCTAAATTTTTCGAATGTATATTTAGTCAACATTTCTTTGTGTGAATAGCATTTTCTTTTTGATCATTGTGTTGCTGTCGACGTGTACGCTTTGGCTTGTTGATTGATTTTTAGTGTGAAATGGAAAAGAGTGCGATGTCATCTTTTTCGATCTTTATATTATTTTGTTCTTCTCACTCCGTCCACTGCTATTAGTAGTACGGACCAGAAATGAAGTCAGGTGAGCTAAATACTGGTGTTATTTCTCACGGTTTAATTCTAGGGATAGAATGAATTCGCCATGATATACCCTGCAGAAATTGCAGACCTCGCAATTTACAGTGGCGAATTCGAAGCGGTCCTTCAAGATAGGAAGGACTGAGGATTTTAAACGCCGCCCGCATTTACATATTCTCGTGCAGTTGGTGCAGCGCTCACGTAGGCGCTATATTTCCCATGCAAAGTGCTCCATTAAGCGAGAATTAGAGCGCGCAGCGAGTCGGAGCCTGCGTCGCGTCGGGCGAGGCCGATGCACCCGAACAAAAGGGCGCGGCCCAAGGGGAAGGGGCCGCGTGCGGGGAGCGGCCTCCGAAGGGGGGCTCCCCCCCCTCCCCTCCCCGCCCCGCCCTACTCGCGATCACGCCCTCGCGACCCCAGCGCAGCGCGACAGCGCCACACGCTTCTCAGCGCAGCTTTTCTCTTCCCGCGTCCGCGTGGGCAGGTTTCTGTTGAAGGGAGTTTTTAAAAAAAACGAATTTGAAACAACCAACTGCAACTGCTAGAATCATTTCTGTGCGAGTGTGATTTTGACTTATTAGATTGGAAATATGCCATATCAAAGTGTTTAAAAGGAATAATAATAATAATAATAATAATAATAATAATAATAATAATACATTTATTAATGGCGATGCTCAAGCCATAGAGATGTTCTCTTCCGCCTAACCACATACATATAGAGTAGTACATTTTAAGAGGGGATGACAAGCTGTACTTTTACGTCTGGGAGTACAAATCTAGGGGCCATCGCGGCATACATCTTAAGCGATTGAGTAAACCCAGAAAACCTCAATCAGGATGGCGGATTAGGGCCGAACATAATCAATTTACGGAGCAAATTGGAAGAGAAGGAAAAATAAGAGAAAGGAAATATAAATGAAAATGAAGAGGAGAACAGGAAGAGAAAGAAGAGAGAGCGAGAGAGGGTACAATCTGTACATTTACGTCTGGGGGCGCAAGACAAGGGACCATCTCGGCGTACGCCTTAAGCGATTAAGTAAACCCAGAAAAAAACTCAATCAGGATGGCGGCTTAGGGCCGAATTTTAATAGAACTTGAGTATGTTATACATAGTAGTGAAAGGGAAGTTTAGTAAAAGAGAAAAGAAAAGATGT